AGAGTGGCGCTGCCCCTCATAGTGTCCTGATCCGTCTACCTCACAGCTGGGTATATGTCGGACGTGTCTGGCGTCGACTATGAATCAAACTGAGAAAATATGGCGCGTGAAACATTTTGACGTGCGCGTCCTACCGTAGATACCGCCTCAGAGCTCCGCGCCGACCGACACTGCCGCCCCTCCCCTTCTCCAGCGATGTTGCTGCTGCCGGGCCGCGACCTTTGTGGCAAAGCTGAGAGACGCTGCTGACCCAGCTTGTCACCTTAGCGGCGTTGTGATGACCTGATGACGTTCTGCAACCTGTCCAGCGGAGTTGGGAGGCGCTGCCGGCCGACGCGGCCACCTCAGCGGCGTAGTGATGATCTGCTGACGCTGTGTGCCCTGACCGGCAGAGCTGGGAGGCGCTGCCGGCCGACACGGCCACCTTCACGCCAGACATCACGCCGCTCATCCTGGCCGCCCACCGCGACAATTACGAGATCATCAAGATCCTGATGGACCGCGGCGCCAGCCTGCCCACCCCGCACAGCTGCAGGTACGCCCCGCGTCCGGGTCCGTCCAGCGGTGTTTGATCAGCCCGACAGCCGGCGGCGGCGAGGTGATCACTTGCACGCGATGACCGCCCGGATATCCGGTCCGGGGTCCGTTTGAACCCCGGCGCATTGGCATCGAGTGATGCTGGGTGTGGTCAGGCTGAGGGTCAGGCGCGGGTCGCCTCGCGCGGGCTCTCGGCGGCAATCCTCACCACCCGCCGCGCGATACTTGCGACGGGAGAATGAGGCATAGCACTCCGGTCTCCGAGAGAAGTGCCACATTCAGGCCCAATCGAGCGTGCTAACTTGCTAAAGCGGCGATTTTTCATCGGAACTTTGGCCCTCCCTCGACCCACGTCACAATCAGCACCGGCAAGCTGACTTACAGCGGTCGCTCTCCGGCCGGCGGCGCACGGACGGCGGCCGAGGTTCCGGCGGAGCCCGAGCCGGCCCCGTCATCGTCCGCCGCGCGCCGACGGAGCCCGCCGCTCGGAGACGTATGCAGCTCGTATCTGCGAGCGTGTGTGCTCAGCTGGCAGGCGAATGCTTCGGTTATTCGCCATGACTGCGCGGCCCGTCGTTGGGCGACGGTCGTTTCGAGCGCCGATAGGGCTGTGAGTTTGATGGGTAGTGGTGTGTTGATGTATTTCGCCACGCAAAATGCAGAAATGACTAGGACATACCCTCGAGCTTGGCTGGGAATATTGACGCGCCTGGGTTGCTTTGTTTGTGGGGATAATTACACTGTAGCGGCCGGTGCGGCATTTTAGAAAAGGCGGTGGTCCGCATAGTTCCAGCCTTCATTCGATTTCAAGCCTTCACGTTAAAAAGTTGTTTGGACACATCAGATACTGGACAAAGAAAACGGCAGGGTAATTACCCACGACCTGTGCGGAAAGTCACGAGTTCTAGTGCTGTCGAGTTCTAGCCTGGTTCAAGCCGAATTGAGTTCCTGGCGGTTTTGGGGTTTTGCCTTCCAAGGGCATTTGGTGCGAGTTACTGTGACGCTTGATAATGGCAACACCCGAATGCATTGTGTGGGATCTTGACAAGAATTGGGAGAAAGATGCGAATGCTAGGTACCGACGACAATTACAGTTTGGTGGGTCTCAAATAGCCCTAGCCCTTTCTTTTCCCTTTTCCGCTGCTGGATGAGCCGCCATGTTGGACAGTGCATGCGTCACTTGCATTTTAAACAGCTGTAGGACTTACGCAACACTTGGAAGTAACATAAAGCGCCCTCCGCTCCCTCCTGCTGGAAACATGCCATTTTTACCAAATTGCTGAATGGCCTGCGTGTTTTCTTGATCATGGACCCCTAAAGCCCATGCTTTGATCTGCGGTTTCACGAAACACATTGTAGCGTTCAGAGTGAATCCACCAGACACGCTCCAGTACCGCCGCCATTCTATTATGGACTGCATTTCCTATGGCATTAGGTGACACAAAAACACTATTCGGACCGCGTGCAAGCGACCCGAATAAAATATCTCCATCGAAATATAATATCAAGTTTACACAAAGAGGGCGTATCCGGGGTGCGTGCGCGCCTTTTGACCTCCTGCCTGAATACCAGCTCGGGCTGAGGGCCCGGCATCGCGGCAGCGGTGGCGCGAATCCAGATCGTTCGCCGCGGTGTTGGCGGAAACCAGAGCCCGCGTTCCGGGACCACCAATCCCACAGAGGGTGATAGCAGACCTCTCCGCCGTCTGTTGTTGTTGATACGCCGGCTGGGGTTCCCCGCGGGCCTCGCCCGGGGATAGGGGGACGGGGAGGGGGTGGTGGCGGCGGAGGGAGTGTGCAAAGCGTAACCACTTCAGAGGTTACGGTGTGGGGGCGTCGGGACGCTGCATCGCCCTTAATCCGGCGACGCGTCGACATATGTCGACTCTGTGGTAGATGCAGGGCGAGCAGTCGGCGTCCGGACCAGACGTGTTGAGAGGTGTCGATTCTGTGGCAGATGCAGAGTTGCCTCTGTGGCAGATGTAGGGCCAGCAGTCGGCGTCCGGACCTGACGCGTCGAGAGGTGTCGGCTCTGTGGCAGATGTAGGGCGAGCGCTCGGCGCCTGGATCAGACACGCCGAGAGGTATCGGCTTTGTGGAAGATGCAGAGTTGCCTCTGTGGCAGATGCAGGGCGAGCGGTCGGCGTCCGGACCAGACGCGTCGAGAGGTGTCGGTTCTGCGGCAGATACAGAGCGGGCGGTCGGCGTCTGGACCAGACGCTTCAGCGACTGTCGACGCAATGCTTCATCGGCGTCCAATTAAACCATACGCATCTTTTGAATGTGTAAATATGCTTTGCACTGAGTCCTCATCGCGGCAATAGACTAGCATTTTGCAACATTCAGTGCCATGTGCAATAGAAAAGCCAATCAAAAACGTGGGTCAAATCTGGTGATAGTGGGGACAGCTTACATGTAGAGTAGCAGATAATGCATCATTTCAAACTTTTGTTCAGCCTAGAAGATACATGTAGCTCGATACGACAGTGCCGGAGAGCGACAACGTTCGATGTGATGTTCTCTCGTAGCCCATCTGAATGATTCCGCAGACTTTGATCTGAGTAGTTTACGGGGTTCAATATGTTGCCTTTGCTTAATCTGAAAGTTTGGCTGTTGGATGGCTAGATTTCCCTTTCCCGGCGGCATCAGCTTCCGCAGCGGACAGGGAACTGAACTACGCTCAAAACTGGAATCTTGCAGCGGCAGCTCGTAAATACTTGATGAGCTTCGAGTTTTTGGGACGATCGGACTAAACGATGGTGCATTAGCTCATGATCATCTGGCCTTCTCCGAAATAAATGAATCTCGCTATGCTAATCTGAAGCACTAAAACTTAGGAGACAGCCGTTTACTAAATCGAGTTAAATTAATAACTTAATTTGAACCAACGTAAGTAACAATGTACTAATGCTAGGTACTCTTAAAATCATTTTTCGAATATACATGCCGCCTTTCACACGCATGGTTCCGACCTCCTTATTCTCAAACAAACAAAAAACAGCACATCTTTTAAAAATCGACATTTTGCCTCAGCTGGTTCATGGAAAATACTTCTGTAAGTATGCGCTGGGTTTACCGCTGAAGATGGGTGCCGCTTGCGACCCTCCCCCCCCCCCCCCCCCCCCCCCAAGCGCGCGGACGTGCAACAAACAAGGCCAAGCGAGGTATTAATGACGCCGGAATCCTCTGGGATGCCAACGCTGAACGGTACAGAGACCACGTGCCACGGGGAGCGGGCCACTTTTCAACACCGAGGGAGTAGTTGGCAAAGATAACCGCCCTCCTGCACCGGCATCCTCCCTCGATTGAGTTGGGCACCATTCGTGCTAGCACACATCGGTTGAAAGTCGTGTATGAACCAACTACTAGGCTGTACTAGACTAGGCAACTACTAAACTACTAGGCTGCTCTTGCAAGTCACGGGGTGCGAGCGTTGCTGCGTTATGAAGGCGGTGATGACGTGTTTTGAAATAGCGTCCGACGCATCCGGTGTGAATTGACGGTAACGAAAGGCGCATG